TAAGGGGGGATGTAAACAAAAAAAAAATGGCAGATTTTTCGTACAGTGGAAATTGATTGATTGATTTGTGGGGTTTAACGTCCCAAAACCACGATATGATTATGAGAGACGCCGTAGTGGAGGGCTCCGGAAATTTTGTACAGTGGAAATCGATGATATGTGAAGCATGAATAAGAAATCTTGATATGTCACTTTAAAAGTTAGCACAACGTTACGAGGTGGAGGTAAATGATGACGTACATTTCTTCCACGTCATTATTATCATGTTTTGGTGGGTCGTTTACCTTCGTCATCTATTCATGTCACGTGATACCAAATTTAGTATATGTGGAGCTAGCGAAGCGGCCGCGAGCACGCCATGAGCATGGTATGTTGTCATGTTCTTACATGACACGTGTGTCAGGATTATCATGTTTGCACCAGTCATATATTTCGTCATCCATTGACGTCACGTAACACCAAATTTGGTATATGTGAAGCTAGCAAAACGGCCGCGAGCTCGTCATGAAGGGCCCAATATTATCTAAAGTAGCGTTGACGCACGCGCACGTTGGGCACAGCGACGCAACGTTAGCAAAACGTGAGCACTGTATAGTCTGATGCCAGGCGCGACAAGCATCCGTCGGCGTGGCCCGACGGCAACCGGCGCGAAATGCGACATGCTGCATTTCGTGCCGATGCGTTACCCAGACAACACTGCGTCTCCCTCTTTTCGTGACGGAGGGACGCCGTACGCGCTGAAACGCGCATCTGTCAAAGCAACGCAGCGCGGCGCGTGCCGGCGAGTATTTGGCAGGACCGGCGCCTGGCGTGGCAACGCCGGCGTGACGCGACGAAATGAACGCCGGTGAGCACACGCACCACGTCACGTCAAAATGTATTGGCGCCTTGACTGTGGCATGTAGTTGTATTCTCACATGACACGCATCTCATGATTATCATGTTTGCACCAGTCACACACCTTCGTCATCCATTGGCGTCATGTAATAATGAATTCGGCATATGTGAAGCTATCGAAACGGCCGCGAGTGCATCATCAGTGTGGCATGTATTCATGCTGTTACATTCCACGCATATCGTGATTATCATGTTTGGATGTGTCATTTACCTATGTCATCCGTTCGCGTCGCGTAACACCAAATTTGGTATAAGTGAAGTTAGCGAAATGGCCGCGAGCGCATCATGAGCGTAGCATGTAGTCATGTTGTTACATGACACGCATATCAGGTTTGTCATGTTTGCACCAGTATCATACCTTCGTCATCCATTCATGCCCCGTAATATCAAATTGGGTATAAATGAAGGTCGCGAAACGGCCGCCAGCGCATCATGAGCGTGCCATGTAGTCATGTTGTTACATGACACGCATCTCATCATTATTATGGGTGCACCAGTGACATACCTACGTCATCCATTCACGTATTGTAATACCTAATTTGGTATATGTGGCGCTAGCGAAACGGCCGTGAACGCATTATGAGCGTGGCATGTAGTGATGTGCTTACATGACATGCACGTCATAATTTTTTGTGTTAGCGTTTCTTGCTTGTGTTCGCCATGCAATCATGTCATAGCATACCAGTTTTGCAACATTACATGTGAAGCAAACCATCGCAGAAGCTGCAGGACCATGAAATTTAAATCATGACATTATACATGTAATGATTTTCGTGTTTCAACTATTCAAATATGCTCTCTTCATACAGTCATGTTATGCCATACTAAGTTTGGTATTGATAGCATTATCGAAACGGCCAGAAGAGCTAAAAGTCGTAGGCGGCTAGACAGACAGATATATATATATATATATATATATATATATATATATATATATATATATATATATATATATATATATATATATATATATCAGATTCTTTGAACGTCATTCACGCTGGACCCGACGTATTGTAGGCAAGAAAGAGACGACGAAACTTTCGTGGAAGCGTCTTTACTAAACGTTTTCAGCTGGTGGACCAGCCTCAGAGTCATTACTCTGACGAAGGCTGGTCCACCAGCTGAAAACGTTTAGTAAAGACGCTTCGACGAAAGTTTCGTCGTCTCTTTCTTGCCTATATATATATATATATATATATATATATATATATATATATATATATATATATATATATATATATATATATATATATATATATATATATATATATATATATATATATATATATATATAGACAGACAGACAGACAGACAGACAGACAGATAGATAGATAGATAGATAGATAGATAGATACGCTCAAAATCACCGAAGTTCGTTAAGAAATGCTTCGCATTTAAAAAGTGCGAACAGGGACGCACGTTTGTCTTCTTTTTTTATCACTCTGAGACCTTTGGTGGGAATTAAAAGATGCTGGACTTGTTTTGGAGAGCGATGCGATAGAGTCCAGAACGTAAATGATGCCCCCCCCGTTCGTGTTTCTTCACCCCCCCCCCCCCCCCCCCTCCCCCACAACACCACCACCAATCTTGCCTCTTCGTTCGCACTGCGCCGACAGCGTACTGTACAAGGCGGCGTAGGAGGGGGACTTGAATTTCGTAGAACAATGTTGTTTCTGTTTATCTGCACTGTCTGTGCTAAAGTGATTGCGGACGCCACTTTGGCGTAAGGACTGTCCGAATATTTTCGTGGGTAGGCGAATTAGGGTTCAGAAATCTAATCAAGTATACTGACAGATTCTGCAAGCCCACATAGAAATCCTGCTGTAATATTTTGGGGGTAAATACTCTGACCAAGTCATCGAAATAAATAAATAAATAACTAAATAAATATATAAGTAAATCATTCGCTCCCCCCCTCCTACTTCTGGATGTCGTTATGATTCTATATGAAATATTGTATGTGTCGGGAAAGATCAGGCACCAATCATTACAGAAAGGATCGTATCAACATCGCGGAGCCCTTATTTGCCCTGGTACCCGTATCAGAAAACGCTTTGCACATGTTTGAGACTGCGACGAAGTTGTGAGGAGAAGTAGAACTCCAGCGTGTTGTTTAGTGGTAACGATGGTGAAGAAGGCGATGGTCTGCGTGTTGAGGATGAAACTCTTCATTCAGGCCAACTTAAGTCCACAAAATGAAAAGTAAATGTGCATTACAGGACCAATTTACGCACAGTCGTTCGTTTCCAGCGTCTTCAGTTCGGGTTGAACGTGTCGACTCAACGTGCCCATCAGGGCCAACATTATCCGTAGAGACCAGATTAGTAGAGCTATGACATGGTTATCTCGAGCAAATGTGCATGCCAGTCACCATCATGAGAAAAATTGATGTGTTTGAATCCGTGAGTACTGTAACAAGCAGTACAAGTAGAATCACACTTGCCTAGAGCGCCCAGCTGGCAGCTCTAGCTGCCATTTTCTGCATAAATATGTAAAGACCGACGCAGTAATGATACCAAACATAGTAATACTGTGTGCTAGGCCCTTGTGTTATAATTTAAGCACGAAAGGAAGCTTGTAGCTAACGCAATGTAGAATCCGTGGCTGACAACAGCGTCGACAGCCACGCACTCCGGTGGTGGACAAATGTGATTATATCTGTACGCCCTGTGCACTGAAAGAGGCGAGCACTGTCGTCGCTAATACGATCTGCGGTAACCCTTGCATTCCGAAACAAGCCTTGACTCGAATTCTAGCCTTCAGTTGACCGAGCTGATCGCAGCGCCGCCCTTGGTTGCTAATGACTCGGCAGTTCTCACGATATCCTGGCTGGCTATACGCTCGGCATATCGCTCGGGCATCGGCATATCACTTATATTCCGGCTGTCGCTCACATGCAGGGAACATTTATGCCGAAAGGTGGATCTACCATCGACGTTCTCAAGTCAAGGTGGAGCGCTGAGTGAAGGGACGTTCTGGAATACGGGGGTTAACCCCCGTATTCTATAGGACACACGGGAAGGAACAGACGAGATCAGATTGGCAGTGCGCGTCTGGTCTTTCTCGTGTCCTGTTTAGTTGCGCTCTCGCGCTGGTTTCTAGAACGTCCCTTCACGCAACGTTGCTAGAATAGAATCTATTCTAGTAACGTTGCCTTCATTCAACGCTTCAGCTACACTTGAGAAAGTCGAGCTCCGTCTGTAGGCAGAGCAAGTAACTGAATATCAGCAATAGTCTACAAAGATTCTTGAGAATAGCTGTGTCATTTTCAGTCGAGCTGCGGCGCAGTGCTCAACTCTGTCAAGCGAATGACGAAATTCGAGGAAAGGAGTGTTTGTGAGTACGGGGGTAAGACACGTTTCCATTTTGTACAAGTGGCATCAAACATTCCTGCCTTGTCAGTGGCGTTAGTTCCCAAATAAGTTCTTCTGTTCTTGTTGCACGTTCAGGAATGTTTCTAAAATAATACGGAAGGTTCCCGGGCACCCGATCGGGCGTGGGTTTCGCACGGCTGTCGTGATGTGTGAGCGGTTACATAAACACTATAAAACCGAGCGCGTCTAGCAACAAATGGGCCGTGAATAAAGGCTATCTCTGTCAGGTGAAGGTTATACTGGGCGCTCACAATGGCTTTGGTTCGCTGGTTCGCTCCATGTTTAGTCTTTCACGAGTCTGCCGTGGTGACGGATGACTGGGCATGTCTGTTGTGGCATCATTTTTTACACTGCCGAAATTTCGAACTCAAGCTATCATATTTTTCGGTTATAGCAACGTACTATGCGCAATTTGATAGCGGGTACAGACGAAACTACACAAAAGAATAATGATATATTAATATCTGAACTTTTACGTCCCAGAACCCCGCTGTGATTATGAGAGACGCCGTATAGTGGAGGGCTCCAGAAATTTCGACCATCTGTTTTTCATTAACGTGTACTTGCATCGTGGAGTACGTCGGCTAATGGTCTTACGGAGTCTTGGCTTCGTGAGACCATTTGGCCTCGTAAGACCAACGCCTGTCACGTTCATTCCGGGCACATTCATTTCCGCCGCAGAGTTTTCGGGCCACCGTACTCGTGCTGCTGTGTGTACTCCCGACTGCGATGGGCCAGACCATCTCGCAGCTTGTGAACCAACTGTGCAGTGAGTCCCGTCCGTCTTTACTCAGCGTTGCTAATTAGTACTGCGTGATTCCGCAAGCTGGTGGCTAAATGATATATATATATATATATATATATATATATATATATATATATATATATATATATATATACTTGGACGCCACTGGAGCTTCGCCTTCAATCATGCCGCAAGGAAAGGAATATTTGTGCGCGTAACACTGGCCGTTTCAAACTACCCAAGAACGTCTACTAGATATACAGCTGCTAAGTGCCATCGTTCTTCCTTTTGCTAATTGGCGAAGTACCAGCTACTCGTCCGTAAGGTGCCGTGTGCACCTGCACACACTTGGTAATTAGTGCAGAACTTGGGACCACCCACTCGTTGCGCAAATCTCTTTCGACACCAGGTGCAACTCTAAGATTCTGCCACGCAATAACATATGTGCTAGGGAGACTCTTTCCAGTATATGATACTCCTGTAGCGTTTCTTTCCCTCCCCGTAAGGTTTCAAGCAGTGACGTGTCTTTGTTGTGGTATAGAACACCTACTTGCCGCGAAGACAACCGGGTTTCGATTCCCACTTCGAAGCATTTTTTTATATTTCTTAATTTAGAAAAGATGATAATTTTTTCGCTCAAAACCATGCAAAACCGAGGCCAACTGCGGAATTTCAGCAAAACGAGCTCTCTAACGCTGTTGCGTAAAAAAAAAAAAATGACAACCACCTGTTTTGTAGCAAAGAGTTACAAGGGTTGAGCGGTTGTCATGTAACGTGCATCACACGCAAGTAACCAACGTTAATAACTTCAAAATCGCATTTCAGCGTTTCATTTAAAATAAATGAAATGCGCAGTTTCTTCATAAAACCTATTTTACTGTCATATTGAAGTCCATGCCTCCACTTAAGCATTCGCTTCGTTGCCCTTTTTATTGACATAGCGATTCTCATCAATTATATCATGTCTATTTTTGTTATGTTCGTCATGTTTTTCTCGCACGATTTGTCAATTTATGGATATTTCATTCGTCGTTATATTTTCCCGTTTCCCGTGCACTCAATGAGCTAATTTTCTAACACTTCCGGGAATAACTGTGTTAATCGTTTTATTATTTACTTAGCGTGTTGTGGCTTTTGCTGCTCCTTCTGAAAACTGTTAAATGTTTCATTGTAAAATTCTGTATTTGTAAATTCTGTATCTACAACGAAGTTTTTATTGTATGTGCATACGTTTGCCCCTACCCTCTTCAATGTTCGTTCACGCGCTACGGACATGTCGAATAAATAAATCCACATGGATCACACAGAAAGTAAAATTTGTAGTTGTCAAAAAAATTTTGCCTTGTGCCGGGGATCAAACCCGGGGACCAACGACTTTCCGCGGCGATCGCTATAACAAGTGACCTAACCAGGACACTAGCAATATAGCTTCGTGGGGGCGAATCGATCGCAACTCGAAGGCCGGGGATACCAAATTATGCACATTAATTCAACTAAATCCAGCAAGGTTCACTGCATATCACGGAGTCAATGACGATGAGGGGAACGAAGCGCTCGTCAGTCCGTCCGTGCTAACGTCCGTTCGTTCGTTCTTGCTTCCGTCCATCCGTTCGTGCGTCCGTCCGTGCTCCCGTCCATGCACCCGTCGGTCCATGTATAGTGAACACTCCAATTACCTCCACATTGCATCTTTTCATAATATACTTATATACAAGTACCACCATCCAGCGGACATTTCAAAAACTAAACGAGAGGTGGCTGCCTACTACGACGACTACTACTACTGCTGCAACAATATTAACAGTATTACCTATAGTTGGGTCATCTTGGCGCTGAGCCAACGCTACGTGCAGTCCAGCTAGGGCTGCAGAGGTTGCCTCTTTTCCTTTCGTCAACCTATCCTCCTCTCCTCTGCGTGATTTTTTATTATGCACTTTTTTGTGTAAGTTAGGCACAAACTCGTCCAAAAAATTTGATTAGATTAGAAAAGTCACAATTATACTGCTTAAGCTATATAATCAGCATTTTGTCATTCTTGATTTTTATTATACGTTTCTGGTTCCTGTATAATTTAGGCACAAACTCAACGGAGAAAATGTTTTGATTAGATTAGATACGCCGCAGTTCCGCTGCTTAACGTAATCGGCACGCTATCACTGTATAACAATTTGAATATAATTATGTACATACCACCAATCATTGATTTATTCCTGCTTGCTTCGCATGCAGGTCAACGACATCAGCGACGCCTGGATGCCGTCACGTGCATCGGGGTTGAGACTAAATCTGAGGTAAATCCTATGTCTTTTATTCAGCTGCAAAACAACACAAATTTGTTCAACACAGGTTCTGTTACGTATCAAGATATAGACCGACATGATTTTTACCAAATTAGTGCAACGTACACCATAAAGTCGTTTACTTATTCAGGGAAATTTACGTGTAATGAAATGGAAAGTAGAGATTGAGCATCTTTTTTTGTTGTTGTTATCAAGTACTATACAGAGCTTGAATGGGCCTGTTGATACCAGTCGAGAGAAAACGAGAAACAGCGCGAACAAGACACCGGGCTGCGACAGACAGCGACTCACTCGTCTTTTTTTTTTCTTTTTCGGATGTCGTGTTGCTCGCGTTGTTTCTAGATTAAATGTTATTTTTTGCTCAGTACTCTTCTTTGTTAAGTATCAAATTTACATTATTAAGTGTAATACCGCACTCATATAAGGCATTTGTTCAATATGAACTTGCCTTGACGACGAAGAGAATGAAGTACAAATGATAAATGATATGTCAGGAGAGCGTCAAGGTTTTACTGTAAAGTTAAAGCCCAAACTGCTTTGCCCCCCCCCCCTTTTTTTTACCCATTTTCCTGTGCTACACCGCACATAGAGTGTGATAACAGGCGACAGAAAGGGATGAACGAAAATATTAGGTGGAGAGACAAGGGATGAAAAGAAAAACATGAGAAACGCGAGGGTGTCACGGGTTGTTTAACGAGACGACTCCATCGCAGCAGTCGCAGAACGCTTTTATTACGTTCGCTTGTGACGCCCTGGAGGGTCCAACCGTTACTCCAGGGAACCATTTGCCGCTGCGATTCGGCTATAGACTGGTTAATCAGTCATCGCTGGTCTTCGAGGGCTGTGATGGAAACAGGGTACTCACTTTGACGGGGGGAGGGGAAGGAGGGTACTCTAGGTCGCTTTTTCTGGCGCAAACATCGTATCCTCCGACACTACAGGATGATCGATTGCCCACACTATACGGCTGGTCGTTGAGGCGTGCCGATGCCACGTCTCGAGGGAATTTCCACGGGAGCTGGGTCGAAGACAGCGACAGGGGATATGTATACGATGTTTTCCTCGCTACTGCACTGGTGAACCGTGGCCGCACTTTGTCAACCATTCCGATGCAACAAGCAAACATGTGAACTCTTTGGTTATTTCTTTGAGTGATCATACGTCATTTTTAGGAGTTATAATGGACACACATCTGAAATTTCAGCAACATATCAATTCTGTTTGTAAAAAGATTTCGTACGGTATCAGGGCATTGGTCAAGTCACGAATGAGTTTTAACATCAAAACTCTGAAGGCATTGCATTATGCATTCATACACAGTCATCTCAGTTATTGCATTACATCGTGGGGTAAGTCATATTCGTTGCACATTTGGCGGTTAAAGCTATTGCAAAAACAAGCAATTCGACTCATAACTTTCGCTTCACGTCAAGCACCATCACATGAGATTTTTCGCCAGCTTGACGTATTACCTATCTCCCAAATGTGCGTTTATAATGTGTGTGTTTTGTTTTTCAAAATTTTCTACCGTACCCTCACTATCGACATATTTCCTATTACCTTGTTGGATAATTCCAATAATACTTGATTCGTGGTTGCCCATAACCTGTTATTACCTAAAGTTCGCACTAATTATGGAAAAATGAGCATTGTTTTTTTATCAATTTCATTATAGAATTCTTTATCACGTGATGTGAAAGACTTATTTCACATTGATGTTTTTAAGAGAAAATTGAAAAAAGTCTCTATTAAACGTATAACTGCTAGATTTTGTTAATTTTTGATGTCTTGCTTTCTTTGTAAAAAAAAGTTCGAAATGTTCCGTGACTTGCTCTTTTGTTATTCATATTTTAGCTTTTTCATTGTATTAACATAGGAGGTCCCACCTGCGGTTTACTACCTTGGGACCTCCTCCTGCATACTTACTCACAATGTACACTTCTGAAGCTAATAAAGAAACATTGATTGATTGATTGAAGACTTGGAGGACACTCGAGTTTCGTCTTCAAGAGTACAATGCGACAGCGTGATCTAGCCCAGTTCGCGTAGCCTTTTCATTCGCCATAGCCAAGCCATGAGGAAAGGAAGAGCTGCGCGTGTAATGTTCCCTATTTCGAACATAGCCTACAACGCTTATACTGCTAGGGCAGTTACGAAGTAGCCGCTACGCCTTAAGTCGTCATTCTGCAAATTGGCGAAGTATACCCACTTTGCATCAGTAAGGCAACGCGCGTCCCGCAGCAGCTACACTCTTTGTTGACGTTGTTCGTTATGATTAATTATGTGAAACAGCCTTGTAATGGGCGGGCGTTAAAATCACCCACTCATTGCGCATTTCCCGTGGTGCGACAGTTGGTGTGATTCTACGCTTCTGGCACCACATATTACATCTGTTAATGGGAACTATGGCGCGTCACACGACACACGCACAATTTATTTTTCCGTAGAGGCTCCAACGGTGACGTTTCCCATGTTCATGTGGTAGAAGAGCCAAGGCGAGGGTCAGTGTGTTGCACGTAGTGTGACCTTATGATGCGCTAAAATGAGAGAAAAATCTATGAAGAAAAAAATAAACAGGACAACACAAGCGCGAACTTACAACCATTTACTTGTGCGAAATCACGACGCAGTATATGCGCACAAAGAAAGGGGGTGAAAAAAAACGCAACATAAGCACTCACACGTGCGAAAGAACTGCGCCACGAGAGGGGCTATCATCTGTCAACTCGACGTCTGTTAACTTCCTCACTCTGCAGGAGGAATGATGCTTTCGCTTCTGTAAGAAATAGTGATGGAGCGCTAACACAGCTGTCAATGCCGGCGTGGTGCATTGCATAAGTATGAGTGCTTTCGTTCTTTTCAAACACGACATCGTGAAACAATCTTGGTGCTATCAAGCTTCGGATGAGGCTGACACCTGTTGCTATGAGTAGCCATGTTTCGGGCTGAGTAATATGCTTGCAGTTGTAGTTCTGCTCGGGTAGTCGAGTTTGATGCACCTTCCGCTTTGACCAATACACGTCTTTCCACAAAAAAAGCGGTATACGATAGACTCAATTTTCACATGCAATAAACTTGCCCTAATTGTTCAAATGGCACATACTTGTTAGACCACTGTTGGTTGTTGTTGTTGACTTTATGGTACAGTGAAATTGACTTGTTAAGAGCCGTGAGAACTATGGGTATGCGGACCTCTTCGGAGTTTTATTTAGTCGGAGGGACACTTTATGAATGTATACGGCAACAAAACAGGACGTTCTTTTGCAACAGGCCGTTCATTGAAGCCTTTGCAATGCACCGCGTCGGCGTTGAATGTTGTGTTAGCGCTCCTTCACTATCCCTTAGAGAAGCGAAAGCATCATTCAAGCCAAACGTACTTGGGCCGGGAAGATAAAAGACACAACACTGTGGTCGTTTTAATTTTGTTTCCAACGGTTTTCACCGGTGGACTGGTGTTCGTCAGCTGTTTGCGAACGAGTGCGATGCTATGTGAACATCCCCGCATCGACATCGTGGTGCAAGAAGGAAACAGTAGACAGCGATAAATTAGTGATGTTTTACAGTGGTGACATTTGCTGTGCCAAACAGTTACAAGCTACACACTACTATCTGCCCTTGCGCAGTCGCAAAAAAAAAAAACGAAGTGAAATCACTTTATCGCGCACGATAGTCATGTGTGATAAAAAAGGAATAGACACGCGACTGCGTGACAAAGCAAGGTAGCGGACGATTTGCATCAGATACCTCTCTCATATTAACCAATGGAGAGCTTACTTCACTCTGGCGTCGCGTGACCAATCTGCTGACGTCATTAATCGTGCCGCAATGGCGCGAAACGCAAGGAGAAAATGACGAGCTTGTATTTGCTATTTTTACAGGCTCTAGGGGCCCTTTAAATACTTCAAGAGTCAAGCATTGAAGTAGCCAGTAATGGGGGGGGGAGGAGGGGGGGGGGGCTGGAGTGCTGTAGAAATTTGGGCTTGACGACGGAGAGCTGAATGAAGGAGGACACAAGAAGAGGACACAGTAGCAACTGAGTAGTGTGTCTGTCTCTTGTGTCTCCATTCATTCAACGCTATTTTTTGTAGTACGTATTAGAAAGATGGACCGATTTCTCTCCTCCCCTTCCCCCAAGATATTCTGGCTATACGCCTCATGGCGTCAAAGCTTGCGGTAATACTTTCGATTTACGGTAAATATAACTATTCGTAGATTTAATTTCACCCGTAGTGTCGTAACCGTGTTTATAGTCATTATCATGTATAATACATGCATCCGGCACAACCACTATCATATGCTAAGCGGCCCTTGACGTTATTATTAATGCCTTTTTCATTTGTTTATTTCTGCGAGAGCCAACTGAGACCACTGCAGTGGCCCTTTGGAGCATTTTCTCTGACCAACGCAGTAGCCTGCAATTACGGCTTACTTAACGCCGCCTGCCGTACTCGCTAAGAAACCGTTTGCGTAGCTGGGGGATACAAAATGACAATGGGTTGCATTTGCATATCGCTGAACGAGCGCACAAAATTAAGTGTGCAAGCGCCAGCATAATCCGCTTACCCTAAACGGGGTTTCGATTATCGGGTATTGCGTGCCGTACACATAAACGCTTTTAGATAGGTGCCTTGCTTCGCTAGGCTTATGCCCCGGGCCAACTCTTGCCCTCCATGTAACCAAACTTGTTGCGTGAGAATGGAATGACGTGTGCCTCCCGACGCGCTGGCGTTTCGCATGGCAATAAGGAAAAGTTCCTCTTCGCACTGCCGTACATGGGGGACGGGAACGACAGCAGTGGCCTCGCACCCGAGGAAGTGTGAGCGAACGACGTTGTAAACCTATTAGATATATTTTCACCCCCACGTGGTCGCTTAGATACTGCATACGTGCGGCACTGATATGATTACATGTCCAATTAAGATAAGTTTCGTTGCTTGCCTTGAATGAACTGCCATTTTTACTGAAGTTATACTGAAGGCTGCGTGCTGTGTTGTACGTACGTGTCGCCGCGTCCACGTCTGGGTATAACGCATGAGCAGCCCGCCTTGCTCAGCGGCGCGACATTTGCGGCGGTTGCGGGCTCTGACGTGGTGTGCCCAGGAGCATGGGTGGCTTTAGACATCTCAGTTTCAAACAATGACGCGTTTCGATGCGTCATCTTTCGCAGTCGAGGTGCCTGAAGGTAATGCTGTCGCCTTTCAGTGTCGCCTGGATAAATATGCGCGCATTATGGCCATTGTTTCTTGTAGCAGCTGGAGTGTGAACCACTAAGCACATGGCTGAAGGTCTAATTCTCGGTATAGAGGAAGGAAACAGTTCGGGGGGCAGCAGCATTGTGCAGGGAGACGGACGGACGGACGGACGGACGGACGGACGGACGGAGGACGGACAGACAGACAGACAGACAGACAGACAGACAGACAGAGAGACAGACAGACAGACAGACAGACAGACAGACAGACAGACAGACAGACAGATAGATAGATAGATAGATAGATAGATAGATAGATAGATAGATAGATAGATAAAGTTTCTCTTTTCTTTTTTTTGTGGCAATGATTTCTCTTCTACGTGGACTATTCAATCTTTGCTACTCACTGTGTTAAGCACTTCCTTTCATGATTGTTTCAATTGCACTGGGAGCTCTAACTCTGCGAATTATCGTGAGTGCTATCCTACTGTGCTTCGCACATGCAAAAGAGCATTAAAGACGCAGAACATCCTCAAACGGGACAGATCTCTGAAGTAATTTTCGTGTAATCCATCATAATCCACATTTCTTCTTACTCGCACGCGAGAGCTTGTGACTGCTATTTAAGAGAAAAGGCAATAGTTAGCAAGTGACTGCCTTCAAGGTAACTTATTTACAAAATAGGGCAGTTGCGAAAGTTCATCGCGCGGAGGCAATCAAATCTTCCCCACTTGCATTCAGTTTAAACTTACCTGAAAGTTTGACAGTGACTTTTTAATTAAAGCGAACTCCACATCCAGAGAAGAGCTAATTTACATGGAATAAGCTTTCTCGGGGGCGTTCCTCGCGAACTGGTGAGACGTGGCAGCCGGAAAACTTCAAAGCAGGCGTGCCCACGGAAGTTCGTACCGAGAATTAAGCTGCCAGGAAGCCCGACTCAACGGAATACCATTTTGATGCGCGCATGATTTACGATCCGGCTGCAAACTTAACTATCGCGGATGCTGCCGCTTCACACACTGACGGGAGATTCCACTTGCAACTCAAAAACTCGTATGACGTCATTGCTAGAGCGTAACGTCACTGCCGCGTTCGTGTTCAATTTGAACCAAAGAATAAAGCTCCGCCCACAGCTGTCGCTTACCCAACCAGAGAACCCTTGCATACATGGCTCATACAACCGCATTTGCCCAATTCCTTGACGTCAAACACCTTACGTGTATTTCGGGTGGTTCATTTTCGTATACAGACACACCATGGCATTCTTATGGTTACTGTCCTCGACTACTGATTTGCAAGTCGCGGGATCGAATCCCGGCTGCGGCAGCCGTCGATGAAGGCGAGGACGGTTAAAGCCCGTGTACTTTGATTCAGGTGCACGCCAAAGAACCCCAGGTGGTCGAAACTTCTGGAGTCCTCCACCACGGCGTCTCTCATAATCAAATAGTGGTTTTGGGGCGTTATCCCAACGATTTTTATATTCGTATGCCGACATGTGTTTGTGTAACTGATTCTCGCTCTAAATGTGCGCCCCGGTGGCACAGTGGTGCTGGGCTGCTGAGTTCAATGTCACGGGTTCGATCCCGTCCATGGCAGTCGCTTTTGGATGACGGCGTAGCGCTAGAGGCCTGTGTACCTAGCGATGTACATGCAAAAGTACATGTCCTCCACCATGGTGTCTCTCATAATCATATCAGGACATTAGGATGTAAACCCCAATTATTATTATTATTATTATTATTATTATTATTATTATATTATTATTATTATTATTATTATATTATTATTATTATTATTATTATTATTATTATTATTATATCGGTAGGCAGTAAGTTTCAGCAAGATTCGAACATAAGAGCTCAAGGAAACGTACTATTTTAAGTATGGATGGACAGGCTTGTATTGACTCGTACGCGAAATGTTTAAACTAGCAGTAAAAAGAAAAGTACCAAGACATGCAGCAGAAACTCTCTAGCACAACACTTTTTCACGTGTGAAAAGCGGGTGTTCTGCCGATCTGGGGTCGACACTTGTATTTATTTTAAAATTGTACCCGTATATAATTGGGACACTATATGGTAGCGTGGTCAGAACATTGATAGACAGTGATGCAGTGGCAAAACATAACCGTGAAGTGCCGCGTCCTCGGTCACTGGAGCCCACAGTGACATGGGATATATACCCGCTGACACTGCATGGGGAAATCGCCATACGTGTACTCATCGACAGGCTGGCGTACACGTACGACCCGCCTTGTCATTCATTCATCCGCCGAGGTGGAGCAGTGGCCATGGTGCTCGGCTGCCGACTCGAAGGTAGCGCGTTCGATCTTGGCCGCGCAGGGCGGTCAAATTTCAACGGAGCTGAAATTCCGGAGGCTCGAGCACTATTAGATGTTCATCATCATCAGCCTGACTACGTCCACTGCAGGACAAAGGCCTCTCCCATGTTCCGACAGTTAACCCAGTCCTGTGCTTGCTGCTGCCAATTTATACCCGCAAACTTCTTAATCTCATCTGCCCACCTAACCTTCTGTCTCCCCCTAACCCGCTTCCCTTCTCTGGGAATCCAGTTAGTTACCCTTAATGACCAGCGGTTATCCTGTCTACGCGCTACATGCCCGGCCCATGTCCATTTCCTCTTCTTTATTTCAACTATGATATCCTTAACCCCCGTTTGTTCCCTAATCCACTCTGCTCTCTTCTTGTCTCTTAAGGTTACACCTACCATTTTTCTTTACATTGCTCGCTGCGTCGTCCTCAATTTAAGCTGAACCCTCTTTGTGAGTCTCCAGGTTTCTGCTCCGTAGCTAAGTACCGGCAAGATACAGCTGTTATATACCTTCCTCTTGAGGGATAGTGGCAATCTACTGAGATGTTAGTGCGTGTTAAAGCAGATCAACTGGTCCGAATTTCCGGAGCCCTACACTACGGCGTCTCTCATACGCAGTTTTGGGACGTAAAACGCTGGATAGTACTACCACTGCATTTCATTCGATTTGCATGGCGGTGATGTGTCAGACGTGACGTCATATCGCCGCCATAGCTGCCAGGATGACGTGACGTCGAGCTGCATCAGTTGTAAGTAAACTCTCCGCTTCCCTAGAATATTTCAAGCTATATAGCACGCAGGACGAGACACACAGACGAAAAGATATAAATAAAAACGAAGATATTTTTTATTGATTGATTGATATGTGGGGTTTAACGTCCCGAAACCACCAGATGATTATGAGAGACGCCGTAGTGGAGGGCTCCAGAAATTTCGACCACCTGGGGTTCTTTAACGTGCACACAAATCTGAGAACACGGGCCTACAACATTTCCGCCTCCATCGGAAATGCAGTTGCCGCAGTCGGGATTTGATCCCGCGACCTGCGGTTCAGCAGCCGAGTACGTTAGCCACTAGACCACCGCGGCGGGGCGATATATTTTTTAGCTTGACGTGATGTATAAACGCTGGTACTGTTTAATCGGTGAAGGGAAAAATACGACAAACGCTAATGCCACTAACTAATGTTGGCCAACATTCAGGTATTTACCATTCAGCCAACGTCATAGATCGTTTAACCGCATACGCTTGATAACGAGCGCTGACAGTGTGCAGGTAAATACGGCAGTTGAGGCACCGAGGCTAAGTGAAACCAGTCGCTCAGACTGCACTGCGTTTGACATCGTATATCTTTGGCAATCAATCATTACAACCTCATTGCAGAATGTGAGTTGAAGAGAACAAGGAAGTGATTAAAATTAGGAAGGCTTACTGCGTGTATAAACAGACCACAAAAGGACGTCAAATAAACGCATATTTGGGCGGGCGTCATTGCTATAGGATAGGACCTATATAGATCGTTCTGGTTGCGAACGGAAGTTGGTTGAGTTTGTGTTAACGTTCAGATATTGACGTCAAGTTGCTTTTAGTTTTTGGATCACTCACTCAATAACTGCGAAGCCGCGAGATTACAACATTGATCGGCATGGATATACGTCATCAAGACACGCTGTGACTACCTGAAGTCGCCGTCATGAACCGAAAAGCGTTGACCGCGGCAAGCTCCCGACGTGCGGGAATCGAAGCGGCAACCATGTCGCCAGCAGCGTCCAGTTTTATCGAACCAACGTAGCAGACGCCGGAGGAAAGGGGGCAGATCCGTAGGGGCGTGCGCGAAACGTCATCCTCTATTCTATGCTGAGTTGGTTGCCGGCGCAAGATGATAATCTGTTTGCAAAATGGTTCTTCATAGTTTAGCTTCGTTTGGATCGCGTTATCTTAGCAGATTACGTGCGCAGTCACGACGGGACAAAGCTGTCCGAACGCGTGTCACGTGTGCTTTGATAGCGCGTGGTATACGCGTGTACTCCCTGCCTTTGCGCAGTCAGCTGTACTGCACCGAACTAATCTCATACGCGAGCATGCGCATACTTTAACGTCAGTTTCAAGCGTGTGACAGCATTAATAAGTGATTCAAAAACAATGCAGCGCCGCGGCCGCTCTCGTTCTTTTTCTATACCGGTCATCGGTCCACAGTGGCATGAGTGGTGCGGTGCGCATGTGTGCGCTCCACTTTGAACGACGTATAATATGCTGCAGATCGCTACAGGCACAGGAATGATCAAGGGACGTACTGAATCGGTTGCAGTTCCCAGGCAACCTGGCCAAGTGCGTTCGGGCCAGCTTCAAGGCTGAACGTCAGCTCAAGGACTTCGGCCTCGGCGCACTGTGCGGTGGTCCAACGCTCGCCTCTGAAGGCCTCGTGGACAGAGCCGCCCCGGTGAGCAATGTAAGTTCTTTGCTTATTTCCTTGTTTTGTTACAGCTCGTTCTCGCTTGCCCGTTTCTTTACACCGCGTAGGGTTACTTATTATTCTTGGTTGATTCGCTCTGCCCGCTTCCGCGCCTCGTATCGATGCTGATCGCCCAGAGAACGGGACGCGTTGCCATGTTTACCTGCCCGAATCTGTAGGCGAACGCGTGCGAAATACATGCAGGCATCGATGGGCTCTGGGTTATAGGCTTCGTTTGGAGAACGTGTTACGCCTGCGATGAACGTCGGGACACGAAACGTCGATGACCGCTTGATCAATAAGTGGTTACACAAAAAGAAATAAAAGGAAAATAGAAATTGTTGCGTGCTGGCGCAGCTTGATGGGCTTACGATTACGGTGAGCTAACTTTGACGATGTGTTTCAATAAAGGGAACTTACGATGAGCCAATGATTTCGGACTGGGACAAATTGGTTGCACAAACTTATGAACGTCGCTTAACTCCACGGATAGTGTATAGCCTGGGCCGAGAAGAGATCGAACAACGCAGATATGCTCCACAATAGCGTAAGTCAATTAAAAGCTGCAGCACATTGCAACAGCTGCCGTTTTCGTCGTTATTAGATGTCGCAAAGAATGCACGGGCCTTAGTGTTGCGAAAGCAGTCACTAAGCTAAGTTCAATTATTCTGTGGATTGTCACGGGAACATAACATGTACACTTCGTCGTTAACTTTCGGGGGTCCTGAAATTTGGTGGGATTGGACATACTGCGTAAAAAATGATGCAGTGTGTGACCTATACGTAGTTTCTATGTTGAACTCTGTGAACTATTATTACCGGCGGTTTGAATGACTTTGGGAGTTTATCGTACAGTATAAAGGCGATGTTACAATTATCACCTGTTATGTTAGAGTTCCTGATTTAATCTTTAATCGAAGTGTTGTCTTAGCTGCACATCAAGGGAAGCGCGCGAGCGGTTTCGCAGCTCGTCTCCGACGAACATCTACCCAACGCTGTTAAGTATGCTGTGCTTCAGTTTCGTGATAATAAAACCTGCACAGCTGGTATTTGCTGCACTACACGTTAACCGCCGAAAAAAGACGAAGAATGCGAGCATGCAGATATGAACAAAGATATGCAGTTTTAAATATTTGGTTCTTCAAAGCTGCACATAAGGCTGTTATGTAAGTTTTTAAGAAAATAAAGACAACAAACCATTTTGTTATATTCTGTCACGTGTATTTTAATCCGAAAGAAACGTACCTGGTTGCTTAATTTCAAAGTTAAGAGTAGAAATAAATGTTGCAGCAATTTTATAATTTGACGGCACTGCGTTCGGTTATAGCCACAAAGATGTCTTCACTGCGGTGTTGGATTACGCAAACAAAGGAAAAAAACGATTACCACGTTAGTGCATATTTATTGATGTTATTGCTCCGAAGCCTTCGTTATATCGTTTCAAAAAGGTAGGCTGACTACTTTCACGTTTAACATTTTCATTTATTAGTTGTAATTTTTTAGTCTGAAGTTACACTGTCTGATTTTAGCTGCATAGGCCTTTCTTTAAATATTCTGCTACTCGGTTCTTGGCTGCAGTCTCCTTTTGTGGGTGAAATAAAGGCTTCGGCGGGCACCCTTCGGGTAGAAAATAATGTTTGAATAAAAATACGAGGATGGATGATCACAAGAAAATAAGGAATATTGATGTTTCGGCGTGGCAGCCTTGTTCAGCATAAAAGCGAAGGAAGGAAGCTAGGCATATAAATACCACTTTATATGGACATGCCAAGGGTTACAGTCGCAGCGCTCCCGTCACCTCCTGCAAGCCGGCCTTCGCTACAGCGCGACAACCAGTTGCGAGTGCTGGATACATAACACATTACACCAGACACTACTTTATTTCATACACAATACCGGCCTAACGGCGCACATTTAATACATATATACGCACAAAATCTTATGTCTTAAGGGCAAGTACTTGTCACAGTAAGAAAAGTCTCAAGCACCTAACCTCAACATCTTGAGTATGTGTTGGGTAGATTACTCTGATGGCGCTCACTCTGCAGTTGTGAGTCAGCGCCATCAGAGTGAACACATCCTACCCGCCATTACCATCAAAACGAAGACGCGCACCACTTTTGGGTGGTGGCAGTTTTTAGCCCAATCGATCTTGCGACCTCGCCGAACCACATCGAACGAGACGCCGCGCATTAGCAAGAGGAAAAGTCAAGCGGGCAGGCAGGCAGGCGAGACCAGAGTACGTCTCTTCCTGATGTCGTGTACTGTCGCTCGGCCAGGCGGCGAATTGGCGCGAAAACCCGTGGGACTGTGCCTTTCCGCGCGAGATCAGTCGAGCACGGCGGAGGAGACCCAGATATTCGGCATTCCATTTGCCGACGCGAAGAAATAAAGGGCGTCGCGTTTTCGTCTGGCACGCTGCCCGATTTCCTCTGGCAGAACGGGGCCGAACGCGGCGCGTAAACGCGGCGCGATTCATTTCTTCTAGCCGAGTAAACTGTGGTGACCGGCCGTAGAATATCCGTGGTCACCGGAAAACTATCGTCAACATCAACGGGCGTGGGGCACAGAAGTCCGGCAAGTCCCATTAGTCGCTACTGATTGATTGATATGTGGGGTTTAACATCCAAAAACCACCATATGATTATCAGAGATACCGTAGTGGAAGGCTCCGGAAATTTTGACCACTTGGGGTTCTTTAACGTGCACCCAAATCTGAGCACACGGGCCTACAACATTTCCGCCTCCATCGGAAATGCAGCCGGGATTCAATCCCGCGACCTGCGGACCAGCAGCCGAGTAGCTTAGCCACTATACCACCGCAGCGGGGCTATTAGTCACTACTGGTTCTCACGAATTGAAGAGGACAACAGTTAACCCAAGCGATAGCTTACAGTACAAATTAGCAAGCGGGTGGGAAAGGGAAGTGACGTAGACGAAGTCAGGAGTGAGGGGATGAAGAAAGAGAGAGTAAAGCACACCATAGAAAAAGAATAATAAAAAGACAGATAAAAATGGAGTGACAAAAATTGACAGAAAGAGGAAACAAGAAATAGAGATAATAAATAGAAAATAGCGAAAGAGAAAGCAATAGGGAGAGGAAGAAAGGAGCATTTCCAGCTCCGCGCCACTTCAGTTTTCCCACCGTAAGAACGTAGCTGTGCTGCTTCTTTATGTACGGTTTAATTGGCGGCGGAACTTTATTTACCGGGTTTTACGCGCTAACGATGTAAAAAAACCGCGTGGTCGATGTACCATAATACGTCTATATTTTACTAACAGTTGCAAGACGCGTAGGAGGGACGGTGTATGTATATATGGATATTGCGGTAGGGTTTTGCTTACGCGCTGAAACACCCCAGAGCGACTCGGGCTATCGGGTAAGCCGTGGTGTCGCATTGCAGATTAATTTCGACCATCTGGCGTGCTTGAACTTGTGCTGAAATCGCCCAAGTAGAACACGGGCCCCGGCTAGCACAGCGCCTCCATCGAAATGCGACTGCCGTGGCCATAGGATCAAAGAAGCGATATATTGCGGTATGCTAATGGGTTTTAGCCTTTATTCGGCAGAAGGGAAACTTGTGGCGTTGGGGAGTAACGGCAGACGCAACGTGTCACCAGATGGCATATAAGCTGATTACGACATTTGTCGCGAATGTTAGATAGATAGATAGATAGATAGATAGATAGATAGATAGATAGATAGATAGATAGATAGATAGATAGATAGATAGATAGATGTGACGCTAGATGCGGGAGACGTGGCGTGGCTCATACGCCATGTTTATTCTATCTCTGACTTCTTCCTTCTCTGCCTCTACCAACCATCGCTTGATACGTCACACGATTCCCCCTCCCCCCGAAAGAAGGCATGAATTATGAACAAGAAAAAGTAAACAGGGAGAGGTTGAAAAGTCGCAAATGTCAAAAGTCAAAATTGGTTCTATGCTCCAGAGGAGTTCCGTAAACTTTCAATGACTTCAGTGGAGAGTGCAGCATTCCGGTTAACGCAGGAGTTCTGGTGGGCGAGGCTGACTGTTGCGTTCTGGATGGCATAATTACACCCTTGACATCTGCACTGATGATAACACGATTTGAGGTCTTGTGAGGAACGAACAAGGTTTGAAATCTGTGTAGCATTGGATTGACGGATGTCTTTGGCATCGGATGCAGCGCCGTCGTGGCAACAGACGCGTTGCTTCTAAAATGCGTGCTTCTTGACGGATTGTGACGGCGTGATGCCTGCAGGCTGGCGGTATGCAAGAAGTGCTTCCGCAGCTTTCTTGGCGTTTTCCGTGGTGTTGCGGTCTGTTTAACTGCAGGCGCAGGGAGCGTCTCTGGCGACTTACCTCTGTGCGAGAAAATTTGACGTCTTGGAATACTTTTTGGGTTAGAGATCTTATTTTCTGCTGTTCTTCAATTGGTGAGTGTGCTTCCGTTGAATTTCGCGTTCGTCGATGCCTTCGTTGCAGTCTATTTTGTTGTCGCATGAGGGTGCGTGCTCGGCTATGCTTGCTTTGCTGATGCTGCTCAGGAGATGGCTGTATTGGCAAGCCTTTCGGAATGGGACATTCATTTACTTTGAGGTTTGACGCGTCCTGTAGACAGCTGATGCATGGTGAACAGGTTTCTTGCTTATCGGGCATGGTTGTTGGTGCGCCATCATTGCTAGCCTGCTTTTCAGAGGCTTCTGTGACGTGGTTGATTACGGACGCTTCTGAAGAACAACTGTGTACGAAGTTTTATGTGTGATTTGCTTCTGAATTGGTTCGATTATTGTATTGGTGACCACTGCATGAGGGTACCACATGTGACGTCGCATCACCAGGTTGAAAAGGCGAATTTTGGCAAGTCTGCGGTGCCGTGGAAATGAACTCTTGCGACAAAAAACATTCAGAGTTGACAGATCGTTCATCAGGGGCTTCTTCTTCGCGGTTCACTATGAGTGGTTCTTGCGCCTGGTAGCATGCGACGTTCGATGCGTCTGAGCCTTCTGT